AACGCAACGCTTACCGGCAGCCAAACGGGCCGCATGCTGTTCTAGAGAGCATAGTAAAAGATATATCAAAGAGCCAGACGATATATTCCAGGTAAGCATAACCTATGGGATAAATCCGATTGTAAAAGTAAAACATCACATTCTTATTCTTTTCTGATACCTATGGAACGACTAGGTATTATACCTGGGATTATTACCAATTACCAGTAATACAAATTATTCTTTTCAACTGATAGGTTCTTGTTATAGAATAAGGACTATCAAAAACATCGAATACTTATGGGATACCTACTGATACTCTGTGCGAGCTCCCAACCATGCTTCCCTGTTTACTCCCAACCAAGTTATAGAGTATGGGCTCCACTACTACATGTACAGAAACGGATTACCTAAACTGGTAAGCATGTAAAATTAAACCTTAATGAAAATTTGAACTTATTTATTTTTAGTTCAAGAAAAGGCATGACAATCCACAACCCACCAAAGACCTGGTAAATGAATTCTGCAAAAACTGAAAACCAAACTAAGTTAAATAAATTATTATAGTAGTTCCTACACAGTATTTTATTTATAGGTTTTAAAGTCTAATAATAAATTTTCGTTGTCAACAAAATAATCTAAAAAAACTACGAAGATTTCTTATTATAAATTTGAAAGATTAAGATTCGGTTCAAATACACAAATTTTAAATTTTTGGCGCCAGTATGTAGGTATGAATGCAACCTACTATATCGATAATGCGCTCATTAGTTCGGGTTAGACGCCAAAGGCCGCGCCTCTAACACAGTCTTCAAAAATTAACGTTGATTGGTCTCTCTCACTTTAGTTATTAGTGTTCTCTCTGTAAAGCACTAAATAGATAAATTTCTGAAATGACAACTTCATTTGACAGTTATCTTTTACCTTAACTGGTGCTCATAAATAAATACAGGGCCATAAGAAAGGAGCAATATTTAAAAAGAAATCGGCGATAGCTCGTAAACGAGCTAATCAAAAATATCTAATGTTATTCTTTTGAATGTGGGTTTTAGTGCTCTTCAATAAACCTCAATAGAATTATTCTCTAAAATAATTAGGGAAGCCATATTTGACCCCATTAAAATTTACATGGGATTTCCTATGTCCCGCTCGACGATGCAACACCCGGTATTGTACCGCATAAGCAATAATAATAAGCTTTTGAACGTAGACGCTAGGGGGCGTTGTCTTACAATTTAACAAACTGTGCGCGTTTAAAAAAAAATAAATGCGATAGTATAATAGGTATGTAATTTTAGCTGATAGTAAAGGGTAATAAAAGTTTAACAAGTCAGCGAAAACCGTATCTTGATATCTTTTTTCAAACTAGAGTTATTAGCAATATTATAATAAATACGAAAATATAAGTCATTAATTATCTTATTTTTCAAACTAACCCTCTTGATTATGACCATTATAATAAAAAAAAATATAAAAAAGATTATGTTATTCAAAATATCGACAATGAACCAGAAAACCATTATACTAGGTGTATTAATACGTATTAATTGTCGCACACACATGCGATTTTATAGTCCAGTCAAAAATTGCAGTTTTATCTACAATTAATAGTGACGCACTCACTCCAGTACATTTTTTCTAAGAGAGCTTGTGAAAAAGCAGAAAAATTACGGATAGTTAACAGAAGCAAATTGACAAGATTGGCTGTTTAAAGGAAATAATTATTCCCATATCAGTTTGCTTATGTTAGTCTATAAATTAGGGTTGACTGACATATTCAATTGTTTTTGATCACTTCCTGTGTCACAGGAAATTTTGACTTTGAGAACAACTTTTGACTTGTAAATGACACCCTCGGTGTTTTTTTTTTTACTTTATTCGATAGAAAATAACACTCTGAATAGAATGACATATCATATGTCAATTTTTAACATTTTCGCGTATGGCTTATTCAAATACGTTTGAATAAAGTATACGACGGCCTCCCTATAAGAGCAATGAGAGGATTTACGTCCCAGTATTGAAGGACAGAAAATCGAGTCAAACAGTAATTTAAGCGGTACCCTCCGTATATTTTATTTTAAACGTATTTGGGCTTATTTGAAATTGTAACATGCTGTTTATAACGACAATTTGACTCGAAATACCAAGTGTGTGATACCAAATTATTCGTAAAAAAATGATTTTTTCAAATATGCTAACGAGGCACCTTTGTTCCATTTGCAAAAAATGAGATTTGATTAAAAATACAATTTGGGCATCTTTTAACCGGCTAGGACAAGACACGAAAAACATTAGACGATAAAATCTATTTTTCCAAGGGTCCTTGATTAAAAATTAGTGTTTTTAATACAGCCACGGTAATGAACAGAGATCCGTGTATTAACAGTATTTTTATGTATTAGCAACATTAATAGTTAATAATGTAATCTAAAAAGCCGCTTAAATTTGGCCAACATTTTAGGGTAAGCGCTGCCTATCTTGCCTACCCTGACGAGCCGCCACTGATTTCCGATATGAATACATCTTGGGCTTCTTTACCATCTGATTTCCCTTTTTTGACATCCAGTAAATGGGAAGAGATAGTTTCGTTGGGCACATGAATTAAAAAGATTTGCTGTCTTAATGAATTTTATAGTTCACGAATCGACAGGTTTTACTCCGCACGAATTGCAGCACAACACCACCGTGCCTAAATGTTTTCCGTCATTTCTTTTAAATCCCATCGGGACACAGGATGTTAGTTCGGAGAGGAAAGTGTGTCTTGCCAAAGAAACATTATAAAGTCGCGCAGCACGGAGAGCTATTAACGGAGAGCTATCTAAGTCGACCATACCCGTTATTTAAACAGGGAAGAGGGAGATTTAGTTTTACTTCGATCTAATAATATATCCTCTGCTTTAAGTGTAGAAACAAAAATAAATTCTTTTATTATTTGAAGGACCCTCTCGAATAAAGAGTACTGTAAGTTTAATACGTATACTTATAGGTATGTTAGATCACCCGGAATCGTTTATTGAACACGGCTTATTCCACGTAAGCCATCTTAAGGCATATCACCCGCCATAAATTGTGTAAGCTAGGTATATAGTTATAGCACATATATAGATTTTATTGAATTATAAGCACACACTATTTGTTAAATTTATAAATTATGTGAACATCGTGTGTTCTTCGATCTCTCAGTTCACAGGGAAGCAGATGAAACAAAATAGGTTATTGTTTATTTGCTGTTAAATTGCTGAACTACATGGGAACATTTTAGTGTAAATGTAGTAAACCTTATCAACATTCAATGCGTTCAACCACATGTCTTGTAGATGTCGCCGCTACCCATTTTATTAAATAAATATGATATTCGCATAAAAAAATATCTACGATTTAAGTAAGTTTATTTCTGCATTCAATCTTAACACTTGCGAATGACGGTGGCAGCCTGTGGTTTAAAATTTTCTTGGTGCTAAGTAAGATTTATTCCTATGGCAACATGACTTTATGGTCGATAGTCAAACAAGGACAATTTGAAAGAGATAGGTAGCTGAAGGACATACGTTCTCCGAAATAGCTTTGTTTGTCGGAGCCCACTTTTTAATATGAGTTTCTTGTATCCCCGTAGGGGTTATAAGTTAAAGTATATACTACAGGAAAATATTTTAACTTCCACAGGGTGGCTCAAAAAAGTGTGAGGGGATCGGGATGATTTTTTTTAAATGGAATACCCTGTATATTATTGCATTTTTGGTTTCATTTCTGATCAATTTACATATTCCTAAAATATTATTATTGTTTTTTATTATTATTAAATGTTTTGATAGTTTCAGAAATATTAATAAATAAATTAAAAAAATATATTTTTTTCCGCCTTTAAAAAAAATATTAAAAATACAAAAAATATCCTGAAATGAGAACTATACTAGGTATCTACTATAGTTGGTCTGTACTTACTTTGCTATAAATATCGTAATCTTAAGCCATACAGGGTGTTCAAAAATCTGTGCCAAACTTTCTAAAATATAAAATAGTTTTTCTTCGTTTTTTTTTTAAATGGAGCCCCCTGTATCTTGTTTCTTTGTTAGATGGAGAATTAAAATATGAATATTTTTTGGGTTTAAATCATTTTTAGCAATTCCATTTAAATAAAAATTGTGCATCACTATGTGCGCATACGTATATTTGAAGTGAAACTTCTTACTAGCAGCTATTAAATTGGAGGATTTGAAGGACATCTTTGAATAAGTGTAGTTTGAAATATCGAAAAAGTAATAAATTAAAAATTAATATATAATTTGATTCTCTTTTACAAAATTTGTATTAAAATGTCCGTCTGTCCGTTTGATGACTCCATTCGGGTACCTCTATCCACGTGCCCAGTTTGGTTCGAATCGACACATAATTAAGGAAAATCCGGTTTGAAACGTCGAGGGCGGCATCCTGTAACCTGTCCCCAATTATGCCAAAATCGATCCAAATTTTTCTTCAATATCAAATCCTTAGTTTCACGTGATGATGATGTAAATGAACCGTCGTATCCAACTTTGCAAGGTGGTACCGTGTGCACCGTCGCTCACGTAACCTACCCACCAAATTTGGTCACGATGGGATGACATAAACTTTTGACGTTTCTTACGTGAAATCTGTCATAGCGACACGTGTCGTACATGGTCAAGTTGGCCTTGGTCTGATCTATCGGCATACCAAATTTAATGTAAATCGGACATTTTTTTCTAATCTGTCCTTACCACTACTTTTCCTCTCGTGTGTCGTGTGTCGTGTCACGGCCTTGAATTATTACTCCCAACGTGCGTAAAGAAGTTTCTCTTCAAAAAACGAAGAAAAACTATAACAGTAAGTACAGACAGAGTATAGTAATAATATATTTTATATGAAGTTTTAATATTGAATAAAGCTACCCAATAGAGTTTACAAATTATTCACCTAAATACGAGATAAAAATAAAGCCTCTTTATATTGTTTTATTCATAATATGGTGATTTAATCAGTCCATCTATTTAAAATTATAGGTATCAAGATATATCAAATACTGTCCCGTTAATATTCGTTCTTAGTACTGGATCTGATCCTTTTGGTATGTTTCAAAGATTTGCTGCTGAAATGGGGTATCAGAATCAGTTTAAGTCGATTTCTTTAGGCCAAGGACAAGGACCAGTAGCAGAAAAACTGATACTTGAAGCAACGGATACGGGAAATTGGATATTTTTACAAGTAAGCAATATACAGACACATTACACGTGGTATGTGTTTTAACAAAACATATTTTTTTTGGAAAAAGTATAATTCTGACTTCCCTGACGGATCTATTATAATAGTATATATTTAAACAAATATTACATATTTTGTTTCATACCAACTTAGACCGTACACACACGAAGTACACACACGTCTCAAACTCGAAGCCGAAGCGTATCGAATAGCGATGGGTCGTTCACGATCGAGTCGTTCAATTTAAACAACCCTATTCACATAGTCGCGAGCAAAGAGCTCCCATCAACTGAACGATAATTTCATCGTTCATTATGCGAGGCAAGCAAGCAGCAATAAGAGCTGGATTCGGCTTGTGCTCACTCGGTGGACTCCGAGTGTCGTCACGGTGGTAACGCTCCGAACCTCTTCATTAGAGTAGTGAATGTTAGTGAAGTAGTGACTTGTGAGCAAACTAAACCCAGCTACGAGAGCGCAACTTGGGAGCACATGAACACCCTGTAGGTATATTACAGCATTTTTTGGCTTCCTTTCAGATCGTTTTACATAATCTTAAGATATGAGTAGATATATTTCGATAGTTTTAGAGATATTAATAAATAAATAAAAAATATATATTTTTCAGCTAAAAATATTAAAAATACAAGAATTGCCTTGAAATCAAAACTATATTATGTATTTACGTTAGATGGTCTGTATTTACTTTGATATAAATATCGTAATTTTAAATCATACAGGATGTTCAAAATTTTACGCCTAACTTTCTAAAATATATGTGACAAATATTTTCAAATTTATCAGTTGTTCTGGGTAGCGTGACTCTGTTATAAATATAATTAAAATATTATATTTCCGCGGCAGGCTAACTTGGATAAAAAGTACACCGACCCTTTGGAGCGCATATTTAATGTTTCCTCTTGATAATGTTAGTCTGCTATATTCATGATATTCACATGATATTACAAATCTACTATAACTTACTTTAATTGCGGCCCAACCTCTGTCTGAAAATCTGTAGCTCTTTTCTGGACTACTCTGGAAATATTCTGCCCCTTCATATGATAATTATACTTATATAGACTTTTTAAACACTTTGTTATTTTTACCATGAAATAAGACGGCCGAGTTTAAAGAAAACATTGAAATTTAATATTAGAAATAATAACAAAAAAAGAAATATAAAAAAATTACCTATTACTGAAAATAGAAGAGAGATGAAAAACTACAAAAAAATTATCTGGTGTCTGCTTTTATTGAAAAATATGATAATTACATAATAGATTGAACCTTTCGTTATCGATCGTCGATATATATCATTATCGTTATCTATATACAGGGTGTCCCAGAAATGAGTGCAGATATTTTAAGGGGTGGTAGATCTGGCCAAAAGAAACATATTTTCTCTTTACCATTTTTAAAATAGATTAAAAATAACCGAGTTATTTAACTTTGAAAGTTAAAAAAAAAATTGCGACATTTTGAGAGCCGCCGGGGAATCTCGCGGATCCCCCGGCGCGGGGGAGAGATCTCGCGGATCTCGGCTTGTTCGCCGCCCGCTGTTGCCACATCGACTAGAAAGACTTAAAAAGTACTTGCAAAATCCCACACCAAGAGGTTCTGCAGAGGTGCGTTACTTTTTTTAAGTGGGTGATCGCCAGTAGCCCTACTTTCCACATTCCACAAAATAAACTAAAAGAAAAAAAAACTTACCAAACAATAAAAAAAGATATCCCTATAGCAAAGACATACAACTGCAGAGCTTTCTTTTTTCCATTTTACCACTCTTAAAACTGCACATAACACTACACTTAATAACATCACTTCACTACAATTCTTAACAACACTATGCAAATTTTCAACTCTGGAAATATTGGCTCCCCTATTAATTTTAGAGCTAAATCGTAAATGGTTTTTAAAGATACATTACAAATTTGCACAAGGGGATCCAATATCTCGACAGTTCAAAATTTGCATGGGATATCCTATATTTCCAACGATGATGCACCACCCGGTATACCCTTCGCTTCTTGACTGCATGCTATTATAATAATTGTTCAAAATGACGACCGCCATTTCCAATACATGCTCTCCTTCTTCTGAGCATAGAATTTTTAACGTTTTGCAGCAATTCTTCGTTGCTTTTCCCGAATCCCTCAAATGCTGAACCATACTTACAAAGGTTCGAGCATTAGGGATTTATCTATTCGGATACTCTTCGGAATAAAGTCTCCGAGCTTCTACAGCGCTTTCCCCTGCAGAAAGTACCTATGCTCTTAGCATATCCACCTTCTCCGGAGTTCTATACTCCATCGTGATTTGCCTATACCGATAGCGATTACCGACACAAAAATATGCACTAACGAACATTTCACAACACTTTAAACACAATCTCCGATCACTTTCTCGAATTTTAAAAGCTCGATAATATTAGAAATTAGATCGATTTTTAATAGTGTACATGCTTTGTGTACATGCGATTAATAATGTCGTTAGTCGTTAATATAATACGAGAATCTGTAATTTTCTCCCCACCGCCCATTTCATTGGAAAAAACGGCGGCAAGTTTTCTGCTTTTGAAATGACGATCGATGGCATTTTATTGTGTAAAAGTAGATGGTAAATGGCATCGATCGTAATTTCTCAGGCAATTTAACGTCTTAGCAGGTTTACTTATTTTTTTATCAAAAAAGCTTTATAGAAAATAAAATAACTGAACATGTTAGTATAGCTTTATTACTAATTAAACTATTTAAAACATGTTCTGATATTACTAAAAAAATTTAAGTAAAAAATATAGCAAATTTTATAGTTTGACGACGTTATAATTAACAATAGGCAAATGGAAAAAATTACCTAACTACATATTAGAGACATAATTCCATACCTAGAAATACCGTATGGCCGAAAAAAACGGCGTCCAGAATGGCTTGAAAATAACGGTCGGTGACATTCTCCATAAAATTTTACACATATGTAAATTGACAGCGATCTTTATTTCATAGCCCTCGCTGACGCCGTTTTTTTTTCTCTACCATATTGTGTTTCCCATTAATCGCATGGTGGCAATACTAATTTATATTTAAAGAGATATATCTAAATGTGTATAAACTAGGTATTTTATTAGCAATCATATTTAAGCTATTATGACTCATATCATATTCTAATTATTTGAAACTTGAAACATAATATTTACTCCTATTATATTCATGTAACTAAATTTTCTAATATTAATAACTCTCTGATAATAAAAACAAGAGTGTGTTTTGAAAAAAGTAAAGCATAATTACTGTGTATTGACTTTATTGTGAAAAGCAACCTATTTGAAACACATTTACGTAACTACAGAATAGTTTAAAAGAACTTACACACATGTTTTTTAGTCTATTTTCTTTATTATATTTGAAAACTACAGTCCCCCTTCCAATACATAAAAACATTTATATTCAAATATACTCTAGATAGAGCTCCAATTTTTATATGAAATGAGAATTTGTTCACACATAAACTACCGTATGATCGAGAAAAAACGGCGTCAACGATGGCTATGAAATGAAGGTCGCTGTCATTTTATATGTAAATTTATATGGGAAATGTCATTGATCGTCATTTCCAAGCCAACAGGACGCCGTTTTTTTCGATCATATGGTACATTTTATGTATTTTATTCTTTAATTTATGTATTTTATGTATTTTATTCTTTAAAGAGGACGCTAAGTCAACAAATTCCTAAATAAAAATTTGTAATTTGTAATTCCTTCAGTGTTTTCGAAATCGTTGTCGGGGTTGCGTCGGTTTTGAAGAAATGTCGAAGAAAACCCCGGACTGTCTACCATCAGCCACCGGATATAAGTAGTTATTAAAGCAAGTTTTTTTTAACATTTTTTATTGTATTTATGAGTTTAGTGTTTGATTATTATCATGTGAAAAATTTTAAATAATATTTTAAAAGTGATACGCATGTGATAGGTTTGTGATGTTCAGTTTAATAGATATTTGGTGTGTATGTGTTTGCGTATATGTGTGCTGGATAAAAAAACACTTTCATTAAAAGGGTAAGCTCTAACTAAACATTAAAGGTTATAATTGTTTATTGAAACGATTGAAAATATTTCCTAATATAGCAAAAAAGAAGCTATAATTGTTAAGATTTATTTTTTCAGTTTACTCCACTGTAAAAAGTATTTAAAATATTGCGCGTTTCTCTAGAATTAGTAGAGCAATCTGCACTAATATGAATAAAATTAATTTTCGTATTTTTTTCTGTAGCAACTAAAAATAATTGAATTTATAGATAAACATGCAGAATGTGGGTATGGTAGGAGGTGGCAACGTTGCATTCTCTCCGACACTCTCTATGCCCGCTAAACGAATTTCCCGGGGAGTGAACAGTGGCACTCAAAAGTTTTTCAACATTTTCCGGAAAATGTCAAGAAAAATATAAAATTTTCAACATTTTTTTTTCGCAAAAAAAACATCATAGGCGTGTTTCTGGGGTTGAACTTTACTACCAGTTAAAATATCTGCACTCATTTCTGGGACACCCTGTATATCGTCGAATCTTACTTCAACACATTAAAATAATTTTAAAGAAGAAAATTAAAACAGAAATTAAAAGTATTTATACAAAAAGACTTAAAACAATTGTTAGCAGTCACCAGACTTAACAACTACAGGGGGTCATCGTGAACCTTACCGAGTTTCGCGAACTCGATGGAGAAAAAAAACGGACAGACAGATATTTTGGAAATGCTAAAAGGGTCCTGTCTAAAACCAATAACCAACAACGCAAGAGATATAAAAGAAAATAATCTGTTATATTTTGCCCCCCCCCCTTAAGAGGGAAGCTATTGTTTCCAACAAAAACAAAAATAAAAAAAATAAACTAGATCTGGCAGTGAACAATATAAGAAATATGACGCAAATAAAATTAAATAAGACAATATGGTCAAACAAATGAAACAAAAGGTTCACGATATGATTCCTGCTTACATACACTAAATTAATATTAACTATTAAAAATTACACTTAATACTACCAAGGGTATCCGCGGCGAACAATTAACTTTCGCGAAACCCGATCACGACACTTGATCGGATGACATATTTCTCCCGATCTCACAGTTCTTGATCGATGCTTAATTTCTTCTGATTCGTGTAGATGGAACCAGAATAACGTGGATGTCTCATTCAGATTAACCATAGGATCTCGCTGGAACTGCGCTGCTACTTGGAGATTAACCAAAATTCCGCTTCAACGTTATAATAAATCTGGATGTGGGTTCTGCATGAAGGAATTTATCTTGTTGTCCTTCTCATTGATGTCATCTGATTACGTTTTTTGGCAAACTGAATTATGATAAGTAGGTACACATGTCTTGAGTGGAGACTGGCATAGGTCACACGAACGAACACATGCCTGAAGAGGTTATACCGCCTCTGCTCGGTCCTCCGTGCCTCGTTAGTAATCTCCTAATATGTATCAAATCCATTCTGGATAGTGAGGCTTTCGATCAGAGAGGTTATAAGGGTCACTTCTCTGTCGCTTCCATATCGGTATTACGTTATCGATTATTTCTGACCATTCTGATACTTTCTGAGCTGCAGGATTTAATTGCAGGATAGCCAGATGTTTCCACTCTCTAACAGTGTCAAGGTTAGACATATCTTAACTAAAACAATGTTATCTTAGTCTTCTCTATCTTCACATGCTTTTAACTGATTCCATTCAAATTGGTAAACTTTTTAGTTTAAAAATGTTACTATACCATCTGTCCAATACTTTAAATTACGAATGATTATTAACCTCTTTCTTGTATAATATGTCTTTATGTTGTCTGTTCGTATTACAAAATTCGGGTATACGTATGTAGTTTTAGTTCAAGTATCCGATTGATAGGTGGCATTAGACACCAAGCCTACTTCTAGTTTGACGCCTATTCTATCAGCTAAATCTAACTGATTTATAGCGTTTAGGAGACTAAACGAGTTGATTTATCGACTAAACGAATCGATTGAAATCAGTTGATCGACTAAATCAATTTCAATTTTTTCAAAGTATTGGTTTTTGAACATGTCTAACCTTCTGGTAACCATAATTTAAATTGATCTTCTAGCTGAACATCACTATGATTTTCAAGATACTGCATGACAAATACTCCGGACATGGTTAACCTTTCAGAGACATCACACTCTAGTATTCAGAATATCCTCTACCTATCTGTTGCGATCTTACAAGTCCTGCAAGATACATCCCTCTTCTTCATCCCTTGTTGGTATTTATCTTATAAACTAAATCTATGGTCGTGAGGTGGACCGTTGGCAGAATAAAGAATCCAAAACTTTAAATTTACTGTAACATAAAAAAAACTTTTAAACACACTGAACTATAGCCAAAAAAAACTACCAATAGTATAATACATTAAATTTATGGTCATTGGTATCGACTTATTTTTATACCCTAATACACCTTCAGCTTGTTCTACGTTACTATCATCCCCGGTATTCCTCCTTTCTGAACCTCTGCACACCTGTACATACATTAAGTTACAGAGTTAGCTAATTTTCCTTATTTTTAACAAGTGATTTATCAAAATGTTGGATATACTCCTTGAACCAATTTCCAGGTATTTTTACAATTTGTTCCCTTAATTAAAATTCCTAAAAAATTTGAAATCCTAAAACTTAAAACAGCACTTTTATTCTTGTCTCTAATGTGTAGTATAGGATAAGAACACTCTGTCTATTACGATAAAATAAAAAATCGAAAATAAAGATTTTATCAAAAAAAAAAGAAATTCAAAAACTAAATTCCAAATCAAATCGAAGTGTCTACATTAGTAATGAAAACATAAATATAAAACTCTGTGGTGACAATGTTGAAAGCGACATTCCTACTCTATCCCTGGTGATATTCGAATATCGAGACACGTCCATAGAGTAATAACAAAAACACGTCTGTCAACGGTCAACGATGTCACACACACACTCTCTCAACACACTCTCAACAACTACTAGGAATAAGTTTGCTCAGCCTTCTTTAAACTGTGTATTTGATTAAAGTATTTTAATAAAGTGTGTACTAATAAGTTTACATCATATTAATTGATAACCCAAACCGTTAGTACCACAATTGGTGACCCCGGAATTACCTCGAACACGCAACAATTGATCAATTTCTCGTCATGAACGACATGAACGAAGCGAACCCAACAAATACACCCGCAGAGCGAGCTCAACACGTGGATCGAGTGGCTATCAAACCACCACCGTTCTGGAAGGCCGATCCGAAACTGTGGTTTGTTCAACTGGAAGCACAATTTGCTCTATCATTACAGCAGACCTAACAAAATACAACCATGTGCTTAGTGTTGTGGACACGAGTATTTTAACTCAAATATCAGAACTACTCCTAAACCCACCTGCGGACAATAAGTACAACGCCATCAAAGACAGATTAATTTCAATATATTCAGATTCTCAGGAGAAGAAATTAAAAACTCTCTTGTCAGACATGAATCTCGGTGACAAAAAAAACCTTCGCAGCTATTAAATTAGATGACACGTTTAGGAGGTCCATCAGTTTCATGTGAATTACTGAAAACCCTGTGGATGCAACATTTACCTGCACAGATGCAATCAGTATTAGCCACCAGTAATGACAATCTAGACAATTTGGCGAAAATGGCAGACAAAATCGCAGAGATTGAACAACCCCGCAACTTCGCAGAGCACAACAACGATCCTTCACTTACTGATATCATCCAAAAGCTCTACAAAGAAGTCCAAGAGTTGACACTACAGCATCCTTGTCGTGAGCAATCTCCACATCGGAAAAGGTCGAAAACACCTCTTCGTCAGCCCCAGGAGGAGGATGGTGAAGTCTGTTGGTATCATCTTCATTTCAAGGACCGTGCAAGATCATGCAGAGCGCCTTGAAAGAAGGGCCCCATCCAGGAAAACGAGACTTTACGACGTTAAGGGCGACGAACGCCGTGAACCCTACCAGTCGCCTTACCAACCCTCCTGTTACAGTCAACTCTACCTTCTCTAACAACCATCGGTTAGTTATTAAGGATCCTAAAACAGGTATATCATTTTTAATAGATTCAGGTTCTGATGTTTCCATTTTACCTAAAATGACACGTAATTATGATCAACATAATAAAACTTGTTTATATGCCGCTAATAACACCCTGATTCCCACGTTTGGTACAAAGAGTGTTACTGTCAGCTTGGGTTTAAAACGGAACTTCACCTGGCATTTCGTAATAGCTCAAACTGATACTGCCATTTTAGGAGTAGATTTTCTACATCATTTTCGACTATTAATAGACCTTCACGGGAAGAAAACTATTGATACTAGCACTAACTTATCTTATCCTGGTAAACTTAAACTTTCCTCATCTGACTCTGTATCAACAATTGACAAAAATTGTAAATATTTTAAGTTACTCGAAGAATATTCCGCCATTACAAAACTTTCGAAAACAGACTGTTATATTTCTCACCAAACTACACACATCATCCCTACAGATGGTCCACCAGTAGTGTCCAAAGCTCGTCGTCTCCCTGCTGATAAGCTTACCATTGCCAAACAAGAATTCCAAACTCTCTTAGACCAGGGAATTTGCCGTCCTTCAAACAGTAGCTGGGCAAGTCCACTGCATCTTGTTAAGAAAAAATCAGGTTCCTGGCGACCTGTTGGCGATTACCGTCGCTTAAATGCCATTACACGGCCTGATAATTACCCTATGCTTAACCTACAAGATTTCAATCACATTTTACATGGTAAAACAATTTTTAGCACCCTAGACCTTGTTGGAGCATATCATCAAATACCTGTCGATCCCGAATCTATTCCGAAAACAGCCATAATCACACCCTTTGGTTTGTTCGAATTTACCCGTATGCAATTTGGTCTACGCAACGCAGCTCAATCCTTTCAACGTTTCATTCACGAAGTCTTACGCAATCTAGACTTCTGTTTTTCCTATATTGACGACATCCTTATAGCATCCTCTAGTCCAGAGCAGCATGAAGTTCATCTTCGACAAATTTTTCAACGCCTACAACAATATGGTCTCACGATGAATCTCGAAAAATGTGTCTTTGGCGAGAGTCGCATAAAATTTTTAGGTTACGAAATATCTTCGAATGGTACTAGATCACTTCCAGATCGAGTAACAACCAATTTAGACTATCCTCTACCTAAATTCGCTTGTGATTTGAGACGATATCTTGGAATGTTGAACTTCTACCGCCGTTTTACCCCTCATGCAGCTGATCATCAAACTATCCTTCACCAGATGCACAAGAATTGCAAAAAGTCTGATAAAACGCCATTATCATGGACTTCTGAAGCTTTAACTGCATTCGAAAAATTTAAAAATGATTTAGCCAATGCAGCCATGCTTGTTCATCCTCATTCTTCTTTCCCACTCTCTCTTACAGTGGACGCATCTAACAGCGCTCTAGGAGCTGTTGTTGAACAATACGAAAACGGAATTTGGAAACCCCTTAGTTTTTTTTCACGTAAATTCACCCCTAACGAAACGAAATACAGCACATACGACCGTGAACTTCTTGGAATTTATTCGGCTGTAAAATATTTCGAATATTTGTTAGAAGGCCGTAATTTCCAAATATTCACCGACCACAAACCACTCACATTCGCTTTTCGACAAAAATCCGACAAAGCTTCACAACGCCAAACACGTCATCTTGATTATATTTCACAGTTTTCCACTGATATAATCCACATCAGTGGTAAAAATAATATTGGCGCAGATACTCTTTCACGGATTAATTCTATTAATTCTCCAGATGTAATCGATTACGATGAATTTCAGAGACATCAAAAAGATGATCCTGAACTTCAACAAATTCTTCAAAACCCCAACTCAACTTCCCTATCACTTAAAAAGTGTACCTTTGCAGACACTTCTACAATGCTCTTTTGTGATTGTAGTCAATCACACATTAGGCCATTTGTACCTTTAAGCTTCAGACAGCTTATTTTCAAAAAATTCCATAACCTTTCTCATCCAGGCATACGAGCTACTAATAAATTGATATATTCACGCTTCGTTTGGCCTTCGATGAATAAAGACATCAAAGTATGGACACGAGCGTGTATAACATGCCAACAGTCCAAAATACATAGACATACCCTTACACCATATCAACAATTTCAAATACCCGAAGAACGATTTCAGATTGTAAATATTGACATTATTGGTCCCTTACCCTCTTCTAATGGTTATTCTTATTGCCTTACTTGTATTGACCGATTTTCTTGTTGGACCGAAGCAATCCCTTTGAGCAATATAACTGCTGAAACTATCGCATCCGCCTTTTATTCTGGTTGGATATGCCGTTTTGGAACTCCACTACAAATTGTTACTGACCAAGGTCGTCAATTCGAAAGTTCTCTATTTCAAAGTCTCAGCATATTAATGGGATGTAAGCGAGTTCGATCTTCACCATACAATCACAAATTTAATGGAAAGATTGAACGATGGCATCGAACTTTAAAAGCCGCTATAATGGCGCATTCATCTCCACAATGGACAGAAGTTTTACCAACGGTACTGTTAGGATTACGTGCTACTCTTTGCTCAGACGTGGAAGTTTCCCCTGCTGAACTAGTTTACGGTTCTTCCATACATTTACCAGGCGAATTTTTTTAAACTTCTAACACTCATACCGATCCTTCGACATTCCTTACGCTATTAAAAAACAAAATGGAAATGTTAAGACCTGTACCTGATAGTAACCACTCTAGTTCAAAACCTTTTATATCACCCGAATTGGAGAAATGTACTCATGTATTTTTACGAAGAGATTCTGTGAGAAAACCTCTACAACCTCCTTATGATGGACCTTATCGTGTAATATCTCGACATGAGAAATATTTCAACATTGCAATCAATGGTAAAAACGTTAACATTTCTAAAGATA